CTATACAGTAAGGGCAAGTAGTAACTCAGCACTGCAATAGTTTCCATATCAGGCCTTAGCCAACAACCCCAATAAATTAGTCAAAATCTTCAAGTGTAAACTTTTACCCGTAGGTATTATATTGGAAGCTTTAAAATATAATCCTTTCCAATAGGAAATTCTTTTGAAAAAATACTTCCTTCAAATATAAACTTTTCAAATAGATATCCTTCAAACGTAGTTCTTTCAAGATAAATGCTTTTCAAATATACTTTTCAAATAATGTCTTTCAAACATAGTTTCTTCAAGATAAATGCTTTTCAAATATGCTTTTCAAATAATGTCTTTCAAACATAGTTTCATCAAGATAAATGCTTTTCAATATATATATATTTTTCAAGTAAATATCCTTCGAGTATAGGTCACCCTGTGACACCCAAGCATAGAAGATTAACAGCTCCGAACACAGATATATCAATAGGGGAAATCTACCGGGATCCCGTCCCATAGTTTCGAATTTATTATGCAGTACTAGGGATCTCCCGAAATACGTCTGTAGTCCCAAAATAAATATGCAGTACAGGGGGATCTCCCGCAATACGTCCGTAGTCCCAAAATAAATATGCAGTACATGAGGATCTCCCGCAATACGTCCGTAGTCCCAAAATAAATATGCAGTACATGAGGATCTCCCGCAATACGTCCGTAGTCCCAAAATAAATATGCAGTACAGGGGAATCTCCCGGAATAAGTCCGTAGTCCCAAAATAAATATGCAGTACAGGGAGATCTCCTGAAATATATCCGTAGTCCCAAAGTAAATATGCAGCGCAACCAACAAAGACAACGACTATGGCACGACAAAAAATCTCGTACATCACCACATCAAGTACAAAGCAACAATGACAGTAATACAAGGTACGACGAGTAAATCAATACAAGAATCTTAAATCATAAAGAAACAGTAGAACTCATTCACAAGGAATAATCACGGTAAAGAATGCTAAGTGTAAAGAGAACAGCTTTACCAGGGAAAAACAAGACGTAGCAACGAATCCACAATATTCAAGTCAACAATAAGAAGCCAACACGGGTCAAATAATTCCAAATAAAGACAAGTTGACTAATATATAAGTGATCTAAACTCCTTATGATGTTGAACAATTATGAGAGATATTCAACAATTCAAATAAGGGTAAGCAGCAAAAGAAAATCATAACTCCATTTAAGGCTAAATAATTATAGGATAATATAATAATAATTTTAATTAAATATAGGCAGTTTATGAAAAATATAGCATGACGGTAGAAGAGGTAAAATCTTCAGTTAATTCAATTAGGAGTCAAATAGGCAATAGAGTGAATCTAACAGCAAGTAATTCTAATTTAAGCAGGTAAAGATGAAACTAGTAATTAGGAACTCGGGCATAACAAGAACAACTTCATACACAGGGAATATAAGGACCCAAGAACCCTAAAAGGCCAACATTCTACAAGTAAGTCCGAGTACGCACTCGTCACCTCGCGTACACGGACTACAATCAACATTGAAGACTCAAATCCTAAGGGGTAATTCCCCCACACAAGGTTAGGCAAGATACTTATCTCAAAAATGACAACCCGGTACTCTAAAATGGACTTCTCGGGTGAAAAGGTCTCCGAACGGCTCAAATCCAACTAGAACAACTTCAAAGCACACATAAAACTTATAAGAAACTATTCCGGATAATAAAGTTTCGATCTTTACAAAAATCTAGAAATCGACCCAAAAGTCGACCCTCGGGCCCGCACCTCAAAACCCGACAAATTTTATAAAATTCGAACACCCATTCCAATATGAGTTCAACCATACAAAATTACCAAATTCTGATACTATTTCGTCCCTCAAATCATGATTTTTCATTTTAGAAATTGTTCTTCAAAAACCAACATTTCCCTTACTGAAAACACAGATTCAATGACAAAAACAAAGATAAAATCATGGAATATATTTAATTGTAGGTGAAGAACACTTACCCAGTCGAATTGCTTGAAAAATTCACCAAGAATCGCTCAAAATTGAGCTCTACAAGTCAAAATATGATAGAAATGGCCTAACCCTCGATTTGAAAATTTATATTCTGCTCAGGCATTTAATGAATCGCGATCGCGGAACATCACTTGCGATCGCGAAAAAGAAAAAGGAAGGCTGCCTAGGTTGTACTTCGCGAACACGAAGACACGCTCGCGAACGCGAAAGAGAAAAGGCGGAAGCCTACGCGAACGCGAACAAGGTGATGCGAACGCAGATAATAGTGGACTAATCTTACACGATAGCATACTCAGAGACGCGAACGCGAAGAACAAGTTGGGGTTCCCAGCAAGGCTAATACTACGTGATCGCGGACATTTAGAAGCGAACGCGTTGCAGAAGAAATTATATGTTTGCGATCGCGAACCTAACTATGCGAACGCGATGAAGGAAAATATGGGATGTCGACATTACACTATGCGATCGCAACTGGAACTATGCGATCACGGAAGGGAACATTAGACACCAGAAATAGCAGTTTAAAAATAGGGAAAAATGACCCGTAGACCATCCGGAACACACCCGAGACCCCCGGGACCCCGTCTAAACACACAAACAAGTTTTATAACCTAACACGGACTCGCTCGGGGTCTCAAATCATATCAAATAACGCCGAAAATGCAAATCGCGCCATGAATCGAACAGTGATTGTATAACGATTACTGGAAACTTCAAGGTATACTTGCTCGACGCTCGCATGCCTCGAAGTCATCTTCTATTAATTCCTTTACTGTTATTTGTCCTATTATCAGGAAGAGTTGTATTAAAGATTTTAGTACATTATGTAGAGCTTATGACTCAGTTCCACCGATTTTGGGGATCTTGTTACTCATGTTCCACTTTGGAGTTATTATGAGCTTTATCGGCTTATTTTATTATCTTAGTTTGTTATTTCTGTTAAGCTATTCATGAATGTTAGGCTTACCTAGTCTTAGAGACTAGGTACCATTACGACTACCTTAGGTGAGATTTTGGGGTCGTAACAACCCAATGCCTACTAGAGAGATGACATTAGAAGAGTGACACTCACAATAATAAAAAGCTAGACGATGTATGATCAAAAGTTTGGGATGATGTGATCCATGTCAATCTAGAGGTAAAGTAGTTCCTTGAGAGTTTGTCCATCGCGTCAGTAGCAAACTTCCAAAAAGTGAAAAGTGAATAGACGCCATCAAATCATATGTAAACAAATTCTTGAGATCTACTCTTAGAGTTCGAGAATTCAAGCGTTGGCAAGTCAACTAGCAAACCAAGGATCAAAAGTAAGTTTTGTGCCTATAGTCATTCTTCTATCTAGTACTAATATGATTTCTAGGTATTGGTACTATTTAAACGAGAATGTTGTGTCATCTAGCGCACTTGATTACTGCGATCGACCCGATAAATTAAAGTATACTAGCCGACCGACTAACCTATTGAGAATGGAACAAATAGGGGAGATTGAATTATTCTTTCTTGTCTTTTAACTATAGAGTAAGATTTTCAAATCGGAGATGAACTTCAAGCTACGAAGATCCTTCAATGGAGTTACCCAGATGTGTTCAGCCAATAAATAATCACGATCTCGAAATACTTCAGCTCCAAATTTAGTCACCATCATTCGAGATTCAAACTAACAAATTGAATCAAACAACAAATTACCAGCTATTTCTATTGAACTTCTCTTTTCTAATGTTCTGGACAAATCAAACACACGAACAAAATAAAAAGAAAGGGAATACGCATGTGTCATAGACTTTTGTTGGAGAATTCGTATAAATGCTATTAAAGATGGTTGTGAAAATGAATATTATCATATATAGTCCCTTTGTGATCATGTAAAAGTACTTGAGTTAAGTTACTTAGTGTATATGTTATTGATATGCAGACTTGGTGCATTTGTACATGCTTTGATATGGTTGTTTGAACAACATGCTTGTTACATTCTTCTTAAATTGTGCACATCTTATGTATGATTTGTCCATAATTTAAGCTGAAGAGGGTGGACAAGTTTCAGAAATTGCACCCTCGTCATTTCAACGACACGCCTTCAGAGGATACTCAGGAGTTGTTAGAACGATGACATGAGATTTTGTGTAACTTGGGACTGGTAGAGTCCAATGAGGTTTGACTTTACTGTCTTCCAGATGTAGGGATCGGCCAAGAGATGCCGGTAGACCTATGAGCAGAGCGGACTAGAAGAGTCACCTCCTCTTACTTTGGCTCAGTTTTCACAGCTTTTCTTGGAGAAGTTTATTCCACTCACTCATAGGGATAACCTACGCAGTCAGTTTAAGCATTTGTTGCAGGGTAGTATGATAGTCACCTAATATAAGACGAGGTTTGTTGATTTGTCTCACAATGCAGCTATCTTGATCCCCATTGAGAGGGAGAAGGTATAGAGGTTCATCGAGGGGCTTACTTATGGCATTAGACTTCAGATGGCTAGAGAGGCCGAGACTAAGGCTATATTTCCCCAGGTGGTGGAGATTGCTAGGAGGATCGAGCGTATTCATAGCCAGGAAAGAGAAGCGACTAGTGATAACTGGCCTATAAAGTGGGCCAAGTCGGGTAAAGGTAATATATTGGCCCAATTTATAACCTGTTCGGCCAAGCTTCTAAAATCTGCTTATTTTGAAAATCGCTTTTCTCAAAAGTGCTTTTCAAAAAAGTACTCTTGGTGAGAAGTAGTTTGTGTTTGACTCATTAATTTGAAAAGCACTTTTGAGCAACAATTAGTGTTTGACCAAACTTTTAAAAAGTGATTCTATGTGTATTATTCTCAAAAGTGCTTTTTAAAAAAATATTTTTGGAGAAATGCTATTTTTTTCTGCTTCTTCAAAACTGCTTTTACCTTAAAACACTTTTTTCCTCTTAAAAAGCTTGGCTTAATTTTGATAAAAAAATATTTTTGGCCAAAAAATAAGCTTGCCAAACATACTATTAGTTGGAGTGTGTTGGGCCAACTGAGAGGGAGAGTAATTTTGTCTTTAAGAAAAAAGGAGTTTTATGTTGCCAGAAAGCTGATTTCGAGATTTCTTCTCTTTTGCAAAAACCAAAAACTCTTTTTCATAAATTTTTAAACGCCTCACCCAATTCTGCTCCGATTTTAGCTAATACAGTCTTCACTCCCTTCTTGGTGAGTCATATTCAACACTCAGTTCACGTGCGTCTGCAAGCCGGCGGCAAATGGAGCCAGAAAAGAGCAAGATACTGATAATCGGAGTAACAGGCCGTCTAGGTTTTGAACTGGCAAAGGTCAGCCTCAACTCCTTGCATCCCACATTCGGACTCGTCAGAGACTCAGCATTTTCCGACCCCCATAAATCCCAAAAGCTTCATTTCCTTTCCGGCGCTGGTGTTACACTCATCAAGGTTCTTCCCCGCCTTCCTCAAAATTTATGATCATAATTATACGTACTTAAAAATTCTTTTAAACTACTATCTTTAGTTCTAAAAGAATGGTTTTGGACTAGAATGGTCAATGTGTGTCAAGTTTATGTTTCATTAGCCACATTAGCATAGGCAAATCCCTACATTATTATTAACCTTTAACAATTTCCTAAATTATCCTACTTTATAATTCTCCCATAACTAGTACCTGAACCAAATGACCCCTAAAAAAAGTTTGATCAAAGAAAGAAAGTATAATTTGTTATCTTTTCTAAGAAAGAAAGTTTAATTTTTCCTCATCAATAGAAAGAAAGTTTAATTTGTAGCAAATGTAGAGTAGGTGCAATGGTACTCTGTGTGGACTGAATTGAATTGAAATATTGGATCTTCCTTATAGGGGTCGTTGCAAGACCAAGATATCCTGATTGAAGCACTCGAGCAAGTTGATGTGGTGATTTGTGCTGTTTCATCTAAGCAAGTCCTCGAACAAAAGCTTCTGGTTTCTGCTATCAAGCGTGCTGGTTGCATTAAGGTCGTAGTCTGTGTTACGTTTCCTTCTTTTGTATGACTGCACTTTTCATTTAACTTTCCTTTTTACATAGTTAGTTTTGTCTGTTACAAATGTCTCAACAGAGAGCTGGCTCTGCCAACAATTTGGGTCTTATTTGTTCATTCTATTGGGCTCATAAATCTTATCATCCTACTAACCTGAGATTTTAAATTTGTTCTCTGGTAGTGCTAATTTGATTGACCTCTTGTTCTTTTTTTTTCTTTCCATTTCTGGATTGATGTGAGGATATTGTAGGCCTGAATGGAGTTCAATGAACAGAATATCTATACGAATTCATACAGCTGACCCCAACTAATTTGAAAATGAGAAGTTGCTGACTCATTAATATAAGGCAATACTAATCTTATAGATAATTGTCGAATCACAAACATCCTGAAAAAGAAAAGACTGCTCTTTCTTATTCCAAGTTCTTGATAATGTCATATGCAAATCTAGTTGAACCTAGATAG